GTTTGTCCATGAGGTCTATCAGCACCTGAGCCGGCGGGCGCACAGGGCCACCTGCCCCGCCTGTCCCTATTCCGGATGTTATTGCTACAGCAGCCGTAGAGTTAGAGCCGGGCTGAGTTCCAACCATGAAGATTCCTGCCCATCTTGGCGGCTCATAGGGGTCCAGAATACTGATGCCATCGAAACAGCCCCCGAGCACGCCGTCTTGCACCTGATACAACGAATCTATTGAGCCGGCGGACGAATCATCGTCTGAGAGGACGACTGTCTCACCCCTATCTTCAGATCCTTTAGAAAGTTCTTCTCCGTGGATGCAGCCCACGAAGCACGCTTCATAACAGGTTGAGTCCGGGTCTTCCTCGCATGCTGAGCCGTCTCGACGAGGTCGGTGCAGTTGTACGGCTCAGGGCCCGGCTCACCGATCCGGCCGATGAAGACGTGGATTCCGCCGAAGGGGACCCGGTATCCATACTCAATTGAGCCGGCGCCGGGACCCCAGCCTTCATCGTCGATGTAGATCTTGTCGCGATGACTCTTGGTCATCCGGCCCACTACGTATCCCTTGAGCCCTTCGAAGTTGCCCTTCAAGAACTCAAATCCATCGTGCGCTGGCCCCACGGTGGGCGCCAACTGTCATGGAATTGTCACGTCAGATGTCCTCGTGAAAGGACTTAGTTGTGGAGCCATCGCAACTAGGAATCTTGAAGGGGTTAATCGGGAAAAAGGACACGAGAGGTTTTATACTAGTTCGGCCCCTTACGGTGAAGGTAAGGCCTACGTCTAGTTGGGTTGGTATTGATGTTTCGATGACCAGGGAGCGAGATACGCTATGCCCGGCTCTCGATGAGATGTTTCTTGCCTTAAGCCGTCAGCAGGTCGTCCCCTTATATACACGGGTTGACGCCCCGTGGCTTACAGAGTCCCGGCCGGCTTATAAACAGTGTCCGGCTCGGTGACTAGGTAAATCTACCTTATGATACAAGTCATGCTATTATGGCGGTTTACTACAACGGGCCTTAAGTCGCCTGTGGGCCTTAAGCCCCTTATTGAATCACCATCTTCATGCTTGGTCTTGGGCTTCTCTCTGGTGAGTCTTCTTTGCGTAACCCGGCCCCTCCTGGGTGGCTTACACAAATAGTTATATCCCCAACAAAATCCTTGTGAGATCTAATTTTCCAAGTGAGTTGAGATGACAAATTATTTACTCTGTGTTGAACTCGGTCGCACCGATCAAGACCTTATGTGACTCCGTCAATTCGGCGTCACTGACGAAAACCAATCGACGTCACCATTTTCAATTCTAAGAAAATGTTTTAACATTTTTACAGCCTATCTTTTTCAGCTCCACTCAATGATTCTTTTCTCTACAAGCATCATGAATTACCTACTACTTTGTAGTGTCTCTCAAGGACCACACCTACTTGACTCATACTCCAGAAGTGCCCTTCTTGGAAATTGATGTTAAAGGGGGAGAGAGAGCACATCAAAGCTTATCATATGAGCACATCTAAGCTCTTCCAGATGCTAGTAAAACAAAGAGGAGAGAAGTCACATGTCTTTTAGAGGGGAAAGACATGTCAACATACTTGATCTTAGTTATTGTTATTGCATATCATTGTTGCTCTAACTGTGGTTAATATTATCCTTTCTTGCTCTGAATTTCTCTTACCCTACTTTCTCCCATTATCCAATATTAGATTCAGGGGGAGAAAATGTCCATATCTAGGGGAAGAAAAATCTTTGGAATTCATTGCATATCTTTAAAATCTTTGGGGACGTGTCAGTATCTAAATAGAGTACCTAGTACTCACCCATTACATGTCATCCCAGTCTTGGTACTATTGTGGTTTCTGAAATTGCTTTATCTAGAGTGTTCTTGTGTCATCTAACCTTGTTTTCTCAAGTCCACTTCTTCTAAAGCCAGCCCAAGACCACAAGGTAAGTATATGCATCATACTCATGTGCATGATGTTCTCTTGCTGATGTGCATATTGTTTGCAAGAAAGATTCATGAACATGGAGGTACACTTCCTATACACATCATTTGCTCTGGTGCATATAGCCAAGATAGATGTAACTCATAGCTTGCTTTGTCATGTTTATGCATTCACATGTTCTTATATTCTATTTTTACATGATTGCATACATGTAGGGGGGCCTATGCATGTTACGTATCTTTCCAAAGCTTTACTGAATACCATGTATATCTTTAATCCTAAGCTTTGATGTATGTTATCATTAATTACCAAAAAGGGGAAGATTGAAAGCTGAAGTGCTCCCTGGGTGATTTTGGTAATTAATGTCAACATATCTCTTGTTGGACTAATACTTTTATCTAGTATATTTCAGATGAGTTCAACAATGGCATGGTAGGGACAAGAGGATGTGGAACCCCCACAAAATGCGAAGGGGCAAAGATTGGCAAAAGCTCAACACTCTTCATTTATATTTTAGTGATCCAAGATCACATTGAGTCCATAGGAATACTATTAAAAGGGGATGAGGTGTTGCTTAATGGTCTACTTGCTCAAAGTGCTTAGTGATATTGCTCCAAAGCCCTCAACCACTTTCTCATTTCCAAATATATATATGTCCAAAACTCAAAGTCAAACTCGGCCCCACCGAAATGATCCACCCGGCGCCACCGAGTTCATTTGACATAGCCACTGCCAGAAACCCTAGCAATTCGGTTCCACCGATATGGATCTCGGTCTCACCAAGATGGCCCTGCAAACTCTCTGTTTCCTTTCGTAATATTTCGATCTCACCGAAATGACCGATCGGTACCACCGAGTTTGCTTGACCAACTCTCTGTTTGCTCTTGGTTGAAATCGATCTCACCGAGTTCAAGCAATCGGCTTCACCGAGATGAGGTTTTGCCCTAGCCCTAGCACATCGGTCACACCAAGTTGTTCTAGTCGGTCCCACCGAGATTCCTAACACTCACATTTTAAACTGAATCGGTCTCACCGAGTTCTTCTATTCGGACTGACTAAGTTGGGTGAAATGTGTATAACGGTTGGAGTTGTGTGGAGGCTACATATACCCCGCCACCCCCTTCTCCATTTGTGAGAGAGCCATCAGAACGTACCTACATTTCCATTCCTCATTTTCTGAGAGAGAACCACCTAGTCATGTGTTGAGACCAAGATATTTCCTACCACAAGAATCTTGATCTCTAGCCTTCCTCAAGTTGCTTTCCACTCAAATCATCTTTCCACCATAGCAAATCTGTGAGAGAGAGTTGAGTGTTGGGGAGACTATCATTTGAAACACAAGAGCAAGGAGTTCATCATCTTGGAGAGTGGTGTCTCCTAGATTGGTTCGGTGTCGCCTGGGAGCCTCCTACAAGATTGTGGAGTTGAACCAAGAAGTTTGTAAGGGCAAGGAGATCGCCTACTTCATGAAGATCTACTCGAGTGAGGCAAGTCCTTCGTGGGCGATGGCCATGGTGGGATAGACAAGGTTGCTTATTCGTGGACCCTTCGTGGGTGGAGCCCTCCGTGGACTCGCGCAACTGTTACCCTTGATGGGTTGAAGTCTCCATCAACGTGGATGTACGATAGCACCACCTATCCAAACCACGCCAAAAATGTCCGTGTCTTCATTGTGTTTGCACACTCCAATTCCATCCCTTTACTTTCTTGCAATCAGCATGCTTTACTCTTTCCGTTGCTCATACTCTTGCCATGCTTGCTTGAAATGTATTGTGAATGCTTAAACTTGTGTTAAAACTCCACGTCAACTTGAAGAACTTAAAAATTGCCACTTGTTGAGGGTCTAATCACCCCCCCTAGACCCCTATTCTCGATCCTTTCACCGTCTCGTCTTCTTGAGCAAGACAGAAACCCTTGACAAACTCCAAATAACACCTAAAAAGGAAGCAGGAGCCTCCCGCTGGCAAGGGCCGGGATCCACCATGCCTCCATGGCCCTAAGGTCCCAGGATACAAGGCAGATCGGCACCAGCGTGGCAGTAGACACGGAAACCCTATTCATTGGGTGCTCTTGTGAGGAGGAGAAGCAAAAGGGTACGTACTATGTATCACGGACACGATTGGTGTTGAACCTATGCCCCCGTTGCAACCCACGGGTAATTAGCTAGCAGGTGAAAATTTGGTATTACTCCCACCTAATAATTCGATGTTGTGTCAAATTTACTGTTTTGCAAGAATATTCTTTCATTTTAAAAAATCTTAAAACTAATTTCAAGTTGTATTTTGCTTTGAAAAAGAATCAAATTCGTTCTACAAGGATCGAGAGGGAGTAACAAGTTACTACCATGCAAAAGTAAATTAAGATTGGAACCTCGGTTTGGTGCAAGAATTGTTATTACTTGGACCAGTTGATGGTTTGGTGCAATAGTGTGACTAATCTTACTTGGAAAAGGTAAAAGAAACGGTATGCCAACAAAATTACCATTTTACAAGAATATTCGTCAATTTTGGAAGAATATTCGTCCATATTTTAATCAGAAAACCAATTTCAAGTTGTATTTTGCTTTAACAAACCAAATTCATTCTGCAAAAGATGGATTAATAAGTTATCCTGAAAATTGAATTAAAGACTGGAGACTTGGTTGTATGGTACGTGTGGAATTGTTGTTAGACTTTTTGTTACCTTTGCATCCGTATGGAAGGTAAGGATTTCCTTGGTACCCTTTCTTGCATTTGCAGAAGTAGCCTCGTCCAATAGACGAGTCGACGCACACGCTGTCGTTGCCGACGCACGCATAGGACTCCGGCTTCGCGCGTGCTGACTCGCACGTCTCCCCTTGCAGCGTCCCAATAGCCCAGTCCACCACCAGCGGCGCCTGCCCGCCGTAGGCGTCGACGAACGCCGACGAGGAAAGGTAGGCGGATGAGAAGGTGAAGTTGGACGCCTCAACCAGCGCCGCGTAGCTGCAGCGGCGGGTGCTCAAGCTCTTGTCAAACCACACCCGGTAGTTCTCCAGCCCCTTGGGGATCGCCGTCCGGCAGCAGCCGATCCCCTCGCAGGAGCCGTTGGTCAGCAGCGAGAGGTTGCCGTCCTTGCACGTGGCTCCGCACACGGCCGTGTACGATGTGCTGTTGTTCGTGTCGCCGATGTAGGCGAGCGTCTTGCACCCGAGCACGGTGAACTTATTGGCGGTGTCGGAGAGCCGGAAGATGGAGCCCTCCAGGTCCATGTTCGACGGCGGGCTGTTGACCTTCATTTCCCCGGCGGTGGCGTTGTAGCAGTAGGAGGAGATGTTGTTCAGCCACCGGACCTGGCCGTGCTCCAGCGAGATCTCCAGCACCTCCTGGTTGATGTAATATAGCCTCTTGCCACGGCCCCCTCTGTCTAGGCAGCGTAGCTTGAAGCCTTGCCGGCGGTCAGAAAGTTGGCAGCCATCCTCGAGGTCGATGCCAAACGGGTAAGGGATCTCCAGTCCACCGCACTCCCTCGTGCAGTTGCCTGGTGGCACCAAAGCTCCAGCATCACTGAGGCAGAACGCCGTCAGTGCTACGATGAACCCTACAGCGGGTGCTAATTTGTTGAAAGCCATGCTGAATGGTAAGGCCACAATTTGCAGCAGCTTTCGTGATTATATAGATAGATTCACATATTGAAGGTAGGGTAGGTGGGAATTGGACTGGTTCGTCTTGTTATCCTTCCATGCTGTTTCGTGTTTCCTATCAAGAAAAGGCAGAAGGAGAATAGTCCATGCAGCTGTTCTATGGAAAACGCGGTGTGACATACAGTATTTGATGAGAAACATGCACCAAGTGTACATCCTAAACAGTGCAGTGTGTTGGTGCTGTGGTAAGTTTATTTATTCCATCTATAATGGAGCCGTGTTATCTTTGTTACTGGGCTACATCGCGAAAGAATTTTTTTTAAAAAAGGGGAGATCCCCGGCCTCTGCATCAGAACGATGTATACAGCCACATTTATTAAAAAACAAATAAGTTCAACATAGGTTTTGAAGTCTCAAAATGAACGAACCAAAAAAGCTCACAAAAAGCAGAAGGGTAAAAGTAAAGCCACAACCGGCTGGCAAAAGAAAGATAGAAAAACTAATTGCCTATCCTATTACATGACCGTCATCCAAACCGGTTGAAAATAGCCCGAGCTATCATCTCCCATCCGATAGATCCAGTAACCAAACGCTCCCTGGCCTTCGTCGGAGTGAGTAGCGACCACATACGGATCAACGTTGTGGCTCGGAAGATAACATGCAAAGAATGAGTATTTGTTGTTCTATTAAAAACCAAATTATTTCTGCAGTTCCAGACTGCCCAAAGTAAAGCACATACTCCTACACGAATGTGTCTCGCTGTTTCGGAATCTATCCCGTCAAGCCATGTCCCAAATAACGTGTTGATATTATTCGGAGCAGTAATATTAAAAGCTATATGAACAGTCCGCCATAATTTTGTTGCCATCGGACAGTCCAGAAAGAGGTGTTTGATGGATTCATCCCGGTCACAAAAACTACATCTTGTAGAACCAATCCAGTTGCGTTTTGTCAAGTTGTCCTTAGTTAAAATGACTTGCTTATATACAAACCACATAAAAACTTTAACTCTCAACGGTACTTTGACATTCCAAACATGTTTCGAACTAGGAATAGAGCTAGAGTTGATAACATCCAGATACATGGATTTAACCGTAAACTTTCCATTCCTAGTTAGCTTCCAGCACAACTGGTCTGGTCGTTGAGAGAGCTGCACATCCATCAGTCGTCTCACAAGATGGAGCCAAGCTTCCCAACGGGTTCCGGCAAGTGTTCTCCTGAATTGGATATTAAGAGTAGTGGACTGAAGTACCGTTGCAACGAAAGCGTCTCTTCGTTGAACAATGCTATAAAGGGAAGGATATTGAAGCGCAAGGGGTGTTTTTTGTAGCCATGTATCCTCTCAGAATCTCGTAGAGGTATCGTTTCCGACTATAAACTTTGTCTTGTTGAAAAAGACTGATTTAACTCTCATCAGTACTTTCCAAAAAGGCGAGCCCGTCAGCCTCACTATCACCTGGGACAAAGTTTTGGAATGAAGGTACTTATTACGCAGAATCTGCGCCCACGTGGCCTCTGTCTCTACAGATAGCTTATACAGCCACTTGCTGAGAAGACATCTGTTCTTAACCTCAACATTTTCGATACCTAGACCCCCTCGGTCTTTCGGTCGACAAATAATATCCCATTTAGCGAGTCTATACTTTCTTTTCAGGTCATCACTCTGCCAGAAGAAGCGGGATCGATAAAAGTCCAGTCTTTTCTGAACTCCCACTGGTACCTCGAAAAAAGACAAGAGAAACATAGGCATGCTCGTGAGTACCGAATTAATGAGAATTAATCGCCCCCCATATGACATCAACTTGCCCTTCCAGCAGCTCAGTTTCTTTTCAAATCGATCCTCAATACACTTTCATTCTCTATTTGTTAGCTTACGATGGTGAATTGGTATACCCAAATACGTGAAAGGTAAAGCCCCCAATTCACATCCGGACAATTGTTTGTATGCCTCTTGTTCCTCATTGGCTCTTCCGAAGCAGAACAATTAGCTTTTGTGGAAGTTAATCTTTAACGCGGTCAATTGTTCGAATAAGCATAACAACAGCTTCATGTTTCTTGCTTTTGCCAAGTCATGCTCCATGAAGATGATTGTATCATCGGCATACTGTAGGATAGACACACCTCCATCAACTAGATGAGGTACCAGGCCATCTACTTGACCAACATCCTTTGCCCTTCCTATTAGAATTGTCAACATGTCGACTACTATGTTGAACAGAATAGGTGGCATTGGATCTCCTTGTTGCAGGCCCTTATGTGTCTGGAAGTAGTGACCTATGTCGTCATTCACTTTAATTCCAACACTCCCTTTTTGCGTGAAAGATTCTACCTGGTGTCTCCAGGCCTGATCAAAACCTTTCATACGCAAGGCCTGTTGCAGAAATGGCCATTTGACTTTATCGTACGCTTTTTCGAAATCCACTTTGAAAACAACCCCGTCTATTTTTTTCGTATGGATTTCATGGAGCGTTTCATGAAGGACCACAACCCTTTCTAGGATGTTTATGTCCGGCATGAAAGCAGTTTGGGACGGCTCTACCACAGAGTGCGCAATCTGCGTGAGTCTATTAGTCCCAACCTTGGTAATTTTTTTGAAACTTACGTTAAGAAGATAGATAGGCCTGAACTGCTCAATTCTTGCGAAAGAAAAGTTTAGGTAGAGAGAAAATGATTCAGGTTCCATCGACATCACCATGTTAGGGCTTCAACGCGGACCACATTCCAAAAGGAATTTAAACAAACCGGGCAAGTTGGATAGTTTTCATTAGAACCATTACATTTTCGACGTATTTCAACTAAACAAAAGTGAATGGCATTTTTTAACTTAGTCTATATGTTTGTAGCCTATTGCGGCCTCCGTGTTCTACATCATGCCTTCCTCATGTCAGCAAACTCACCGGCCATGAGCCACAAGAAGTGAAGTTGCAGGAGAGGCGGAGGGGGGGGGTGGTGTGAATTGCAAAAAACCACCACATTTGGGGCTTCATCTGCGGAAAACCACCAGGTCGCTATTTTTTTTTCCAAAATGCACCGCGGATTCAGTAAACATTTTGCAGATAGCACTGAACAGGTGATTTGGCATGGTTGAGGGCGTTTCCGATAGGTGGGCCCCAAATCTGTCGACGTGGCCTAACGGTCGCGCAAACGAAGCCGTTTGTTGTAAACGACGCGGTCGGCTCGCGATGGACAGATCGACCGACCGCGCCCGACGACACCACCCTCTCCCTCCAGATCTAGTCCATGATGATGACGAAACCTGGCGGTGACGACCGCGGTGGTCGAGCTGCTACCGGTGGGGATGCTCCGGGCGGCTGTGAGGGAGATCCACCGGAGTTCTGCGGGAGCTGGCGCCGCCTCATCCCCAACCGTCGGCACCGCCGAAGTTGCTGGAAACGCGGCGGCTACTACGTTCGCCCAGGCGATGAAAGCCAATCCGACGGACATCCACCATTTTGCCTCCTCCTTCGGCGGTGTGGAGTAAGTCATCCTCCTCCTTCTTTCTATTTCCCCCGATTGGCATTCTAGGGTTAGGGTTCTAGGGCTAGGGTTCCATTGTAGCATTGCTGACAGTAATTGCACTATGAATGGTCTGTCACATGATTGCTCAAATCCTCTCTGAGACATGATTGTTGGTGTCACATAAATTAATTTTAACAAGAGTACTTTTACGTGATTGTTGCTGTCATATGTCAGCTGATTGCTCAAATCCTCTCTGCCAAATTATTATTGTTGTTGTCAAATAAATTAATTTTAACTTTAGTATTGTTAATTAACAACAATTATAACTAAAGTGTGAACCTTGTACTTAAGTACTTAACATCAATTTTAACTGAATTTGTAGCTTGGATGATGAAAAATGGGAAGTGAGGTTCCATTTCCTAGAAAAAGATAATTTGGAAAGAACAATCTGTTTATTAGACATAACATTCTGGAATCTCGTTGGCCTAATAGAGGTAGAAGGCTATAGTTCAAGGGATTTTATGTATTATGTCAGAGATCCAGGAGTTGGGGTGTCAGGAATGGAAGAATTAAATGATGATGACAAGGTGGGAGAAATGTTGGATGACATAGCTAGTAAAGGAAAGAATGTTGTTAACATTACAGTTATCAGAAGTGATGCACCTACACCAGCTGATTTGAACATTGGTCATGTTTATGAAGAGCATGTCCTTTGTCTGAAATAGGTGTACCACTTGTTTATGAGGTAGACACTTCAGGAGTTCTTTTCCCCAGTCCAGTGAAGCCCCAACCACAGCCTGTCCAAGTCATGAACACACAGGAGAGCTCTTGTTTGTTGAAGCTAAAGGGCCTAAGTAAACCTGAGTTTGCATTGGACTATGGTTATGAGAGGCATGAGTATTTCATGGAGACAAACCAAGAGCAAGAACACATTGAGCAGATGATGGAGTAGAAGAGAAATGCAGAGATTCAGAAGTTTAGGAGTAATAAGATACAAAGAGAGAAGTACAAGGCAGCAAAAAGAAAACTCCCACAACAGCTTGCTGAAGAGTTCACTGACAGTGAAAGTGAGGATGAAGATCTAGCAGATGAGGACATATTAGCTAGGTTGGATGCAATGAATAGGCATAGAGAAGATCCACTATATCACTTTGAAGGAGACACTGATGTAGAAGAGCTTTATGGACCAGATGAGGAGGAGGGGGAGGATGAAGCAAGAGAGGAAGAGGCAGGATAGTAGGAGCGAGTAGATGAGGGCAGGAGAGGAGGAAGCAGTGTAGGAGGTAGCAGTGTAGGAGGTAGCAACAATACGAGAGGAAGTCAGAGGAGGGGGGAGGGACCAACAACAAGATCTCATGCAAGCTTGGATCAAATCATAGAGCAATACTGGGTACCTTCATCTGATGAGGAGAGCAACCTAGGTGACTTAAGTCAGGAAGAGAATGATGGTGCTCAGCTTCCACCATTTAAGCTACCAAATGGTAGGAAGAGCAGGGCCAAAAAGAATAAAATTAGGGTTTGGTATGATG